AAGGTTTTCTTTGATTTTTTTTTGAAACTTTGTGTAATAGCACGGCCACATATTCCCCGTTCGTCAGGTGTCATAGGTATCGTAACTTTTCGGGTGGGGGGGGGGCGTGGAGAGATGTTGTTATGATACCGTACAGTACAGTATGTATACAAGCTCTTGTAACAGGACTCGGCATGCCCCGCCCCGCCTCAGTGGGCAGAAAAATTAGGATAAATTGATGGATGAATGAATGAATGAATGAATGAATGAATGGATGATCTCATGCTTATGATATGATATCGTGAGGGTCTGGTCGACCAAGGAGGTCTATCATGGACCATCACTCAGTAATGTCGCCTTGGAGACCTTACTTTGTGGGAGTGCAGTAGACTACCGGTATCCTATTTGGGAAGAAGCATTGACGGGGAGAGGCGAGAGGGATTGACCATGCGTGTCACGCCCCACTGCTGGTACCGGTACAGTAGTGCAGTGCAGTTAGCCTGCCTGGGCTTCCGGGTATCCGGATTGTCTCGATTTGTCTTGACATTCGCGGTTAGACTGCCGGTAACTTGTGATGGTGGGTTACAAGTAACGGTACCGGTACGAGTACGGTACTCTAGTGTCGGTATTATACGCAGAGTTTTTTCTCGGAATTGTCGGGAAGGTTAGGGTTAGTTATCCGTGGTTTACAAGGCTACGGTACCGTGCCGGTAGTTAGTTAGTTGGGAAGCATCCTATGCATAAATCTCCGTCCAAGCGAGGCTGATGGGGGAGGGCGGTGGAGCGTGCACATGGCAGGGTCATTGTTATCGCATAATCTCATCAACGACTAGCAGTACCGGAATGGTATGAGTACAAGTACTCGAGTACGGTGGGAAAGAAGGGGGGGGACGAGTCACGTGTTTATGGGTGGGAAGGGGCAGGGCGGAGGGATATGACTGGTAGTGCAGCACTCGTACTGCACTCGTATACAGGTGGTACGAGTACCATACCGGCACGCCTGTCCGCCCGCCCACAAGGAACTTACCTTTACCTAAAGTACCTACCTAGTTTAATGGAATGGAGGAAAGGGTCTCCCACCCTCACCGATTCGACCGACGGCGGCTGAAGTCTTACCGTATGGGAGCGCACAAGAGTGGGTAAAACGGGAACAGAAAATGTGATAGGGTGGGGTGCGGTCTTGCTTGTCTGCCATGTGGAGAGAAGTTTCTGGCATGAGAGCCCGAACCTGACATGTGGTGATGATGGCGCTTGCACTTGTTGTAATAATAATAATACCGGTGATAATAGGGAAATTGGGTGCGGTTTTGTTTTGTACCTGTCCGTCGTACACACAGCCGGTACCACCGTTCGTATTCGCAGTGTGAGACTGAGGCTCGCACAACATAATGAGGCCTGAGCTGTGGATGGCACTAGTACCGCTTTTTTCTTTCTTCTTGACAGAATGTCGATACCGGTATACCGGTATGGAATGCTCGGGTACAGTGCAGGAGTCTGCGGCAAAGCGAGAACAGTGACGCGAGAGCGCCCATACGACCTTTATCCCCCGAACTGGAAGGACGTTGAAAATTTCGCACCATCCCTTCCAGTTTCTGAGGCATAGATGACTAAGTAGGATGTCGCCCTCTGGCTCACTATTCCTCAGTGATTGTCGGTGTAGGTGTTGGTCATCTCATGCGGTAGCTAATATTAGTTATGGTCTCAAGTCATGCCAGTGGCTGCGGAATTTTGGCTGTTGACAAAAGTTGTTTACTAACCTCCACCAGGTGTGGCACAATTTTTTTCAATGTCTGCCGGTCTACCGTAGGAGATGCAGGTAACTGGGATTGTAAAAGGGGTGGAATATTTCACCACACCAGCAAGAGCACAGCTGCAGGAATCGTGCTGGGCGGAGTTGGGAAGGAGGTGGGAGAAAGGGAAGAAAAAAACGGGAAAAGGCTATGCTTGAGGCGGAATACCGGTATTCGTTATTCTCTCCCTCCGGTGGAAGAATATGGAGGGGTGGTGGTACAAATATTGTGCAAAAGTTCTTCGCCTTAATCTCACCAATTGTGGAACCCAAACTTTGCCCAGGAAGATCTTTTCTCGACCTTTCGTGTGAGCATGGTGGGGGTGGGCATGTTGGTGGGAGGGATGGAAGGGGGAGGGAGGGGAGATGGTTATTTATGGAATGTATAAAATGTGACCTTTTTGGTTTGTTTTCAGACAATGCAGGACTCAAGAGCCAGATTCCCCCCAACCCCATCCCCCTCCCTCTCGCCAAAATCAGCCGCACCTGAAAAGCGGTTCCAAGAAGTTGGGACGCAGAGGATGATCGGTGGTGGGGTGTGTTCAGAGGGCTTCCTGAGGGGAGGGAGAAAAATTCCTGAGGAAGGGTACCGCAGGAATGTTCTGCCAGTACCGGCACTCGGGTAATCGTGGACGGTGCAAAAGGAAAGAAACATGATATCGTGCTTCCCTACCGCTTTCGTATCATACATACCATACCGGCACGCGCGTGTAAGTAAAAGCAAGGTATAAGTACCCAAGTATCCAGAGGATGAAAATATGTGCATCCTGTGATTCTTGTCTACCGTATGGTACTGCTCAAAGAGAACCCCTCTTCGCCGGGGGCTCCAGAAAACATTTCGGCTTAACTCAGGCTGCGGCGTCGCTGGAGGGGATAAACTGGGGGGAAGTCGGCCCATGTAATGGACAGCAGGACAGAACCACCACCAGGGACGAGAGAGTACCCGCAGGGTACAGGCATTACGTTCGTACAATGTATTTTACAAAAAGGTGAAGTTATCATACAAGATGCCTCCTTGGCCGTAATCCCAGGTAATTGTGACAGGCACCAAGCCAAACGCGGTTTCTTGGCAACCCCACGAGCCTCAGACCTTTAAAGGTTCGGTCTTCCTCAAATCATGAGGTCCAGGGTTAGGATTCGCGCACTTGTTTACCACATTTCCCAACTAAATGTGTTTAAGCCACAGAGGGCCGCCTCTGTGGGCAGCTGGAGACACCGGGGTCCGACCTTAAGCGCGAATGGACACACGTTGGGCCGGTAAATTCGCAACAAATGGGGGGTGAAGGTCTGAAAACGGTCGTTCGACGGAGCCATGGTGAACAGCACGGCATTGGTTCTTCAAGACGACTTAAGCTATAAAACATTATAGCTTGTCCATCCAGCCATACGGAGGTTGTCTGCATGATACCATGCCCCAGTGAATCAAAAAAAGATTTGTCTCCTGGACATCCTGACCATGGCGATAGGAGGTCCAAGATTTCGGGCCCGGAATCAGGGCGGGGGGGCTGTACCGGTATGTGGGCTGTCCTCGAGTACCATTACCCCAAATTCTTTCCAGTCGATCAAAAAAAGTAACAAGAAGGCCATTCAAACTCAAATTATCCCTATTCGAATAAAATACCGTAAATAAATAAAAAAAAGCCAGGGAGGAAGGGGAAGCGGCATGAGCTGCTTGGCTGTGACGAACTTGAACCGCATACTCGGGGGAAAGTGAACTCCGCTCTCCATCCAGCTCTCCCTTCATTTCCACTCAGATAAATAAAAAACGTTACTGCTCCGCATGCCGGCCCACTCTGTCCTCATTTCTATTTTTCCTGCAGTACCCTCACAGTCTACCGGTCGCTTGCAGAGCTTCTGAGTCCTCCGTCTCCGATACCGGTATTCGCTGATTACCGTGCCTCGACTTGGTGTCGTCTGAGCGTTCCAACCGTAGGCGGGAAACACACACGGACACAGACTGGAACAAGAACGGACGGACAGCGAAAAGTCAGACTGGAGGACAGATTGGTGCCTTGCCTACGTGGAATTACAGACCTGCGGTACCTGGCTGCCGGTTAGTGTGTGGTGGGAGGGAGGTGAGAAAACACCTCGCGAGATTTTTCTCCCATCGGTGGTCCATCCTATTTCTCAACACTTCTGGAGACCTCTTTCAGCTTCAGTTGTCTGCTTGGCTTCAACATTCTGCATCCTCACAAAAGAGTACCTGCTGTGTTCTCCCTTTTTGCTACTGCATTTCGGTAGACTGCCGAATCACCGTCAGCTGTTCTCTTTTCAACCCCCCACCTAACGGAAAAAAATAAGGGAAAAACAAAAAACAGGTTTTTCAAAGCTGGGCGTGTTTTCCCCTCTATAAGCAGTTGTCACTGCTGTTTGTGACAGGATGGTGCACATAAACCTCCCCTCACGTCTTGGACGCTCAAAGACCAGTGCATCGAGGAATAGCTCTAAAAACGCCTCACCGATCCCCAGCCGGACCGGGTCACCAAAACTCATGAACGACAGTACTCTGGTTTTGAAGGCCACGGTGGTCCAGGTGAGCTGATTCCGTGTGACCGCGTATATAAACGCAATGAAGACGTTGCTGACGGTGGGGAAAACTGTCTAGGGTCGAAACTTGGCTCCAAAGGACAAGAATGGATTCAGTGACCCCGTAAGATTTCTCGATTTCCTCCACTCCCTAGTCACTTTCCATAGAAAGTGGACTAAATTACGGACCGCTCTAGTATCTCGTTCTCTCTTTAGGGGATTACCGATTCCAAACAGAGGCAATTCAGAAAACACTCGACCCGACATGGAATGACACCTTTGAGATGCCCCTTAGCGGTGTCAGCACCTCAACGGTGTCGTGTGTATGTTGGGATAAGGACATAATCGGGAAGGTAGACCGCCCTGTGATTACCCGCTTCTGGAGTGATTAAATATTGACGCGTTCCCGCACAACTAGGACTATATGGGAGAATTTGAGGCCTCGCTGGAGGATATGTTCTTAAATGGGGCGGTCAACCCAGAGGTCCGCAATTGTTCCATCCAGCATGGTAAAAACGTCTCTAATGCTTCGTCGGTTACAGCCTCGATGGTTCCCGTTAAAATCCAGCCGCAAGAAGGCTCAAATTTCTGGCGAGATACAGCTACAATTTTCTTTGTCCGATAGCTCAAATGAAGCTGCTCCGCCTGAAGAAGTTGCGGCAAAATGGCAGGCATGGCAGGGCAACTTCGTGACAACTCCAAATCCTAGCGGGGATGATCAGGACCCTCTCTCTCAGGATCTTGGAGATGAGCTCCAATCGGAAGACGATGACGAAGTTGGTGACACGGACAGTATTATGGCAGGGAAGAAGACAAAGAAGAAGGGGAAGAAGAAGGGGAAGAGAATTAAGAAAGGTGGCCACTACGAGCTCTTTAATGGGACTGATGTTGTTGGCGTCATCTTTCTGGAGATCAATTGCATCACAGATTTGCCCCCAGAAAGAAACAGTCAGTTGGCTCAACACCCCGCTAAAGAGAGCAATTCTGACCAACACAGTGACACGTACCGGGTTTGACATGGATCCCTTTGTTGTTGTCTCTCTTGGAAAATCGACCTTTCGTACTCGACATATCCGACATTCACTAAACCCCGTATTTGATGAGAAAATGGTGTTCCAAGTTCTTCGACAGGAACAGAATTATAGCTTGAACTTCGCCGTTGTGGATCGGGATAAGTTCTCATCAAACGACTTTGTAGCCCAAACCAACTTTGCACTAAAGGAGATCATTGAAACCCAGCCGTCAGCAGACCCAGAGACTGGATTGTACAATCTGCGGGAACCGCTCAAGGACGAGAACTCGGTAAGCCCTATTTCTCCTGGGTTGAAGCCGGGCAATGGAAGCAAGTCGCGATTCCGTCTCCCTCTACCCAGGTCTACATCAGGAACCAGTTTATCCGCTAAGTCCAATAGCCGGGCTGAGCTCAGTCGTAAGACTTCCTCCACCTCTCTGCAAAGTACGCTTGATACCCTGCCCCTGGGCGGAGAGGAGGCAGCCACATCGCTATCTGGGAACAAGGCCATCCCCGTAAATGATACGACTGAGTATGATCTAAAGCAATTTAAATTGTTGCTCCCATTGAAGAACAAGGAGAGATGGGAAGACAAACATAACCCTGAGCTTTTCATTAAGGCCAAATATGTCCCGTATCCTGCCTTAAGGCAGCAATTTTGGAGGGTTATGCTACGTCAGTATGATGCCGATGATAGTGGTATGATCAGCCGTGTCGAGCTTACAACTATGCTTGACACGCTCGGGTCAACACTGTCGGCACACACCATCGATAGCTACTTCGAAAGATTTAGAAATCAAAACGGGTACGACAGCTTGGAAAACACCGAGTTAACGGTAGACCAAGCAGTTATCTGTCTTGAGGATCAGCTTTCGTCATCGACACCAAGGACACCATCGCATCTCACACCGCACCTACGCCAGCTGCCAATCCCTGGATTGAAGGATCGCGACAATGAGCGAGACGATGCATCGCAGAAGTCATTAGACACAAGCACTGGCTCAGAAACTCCTGACCCCCGCAGCAGCTCCGCTGTATCTTTGCCCAAGATACAAACCCAGCCTGTTCTTGGTCCTGCAGGCGAGGAGGGTCTGCTGCTTGGGGAGAACGATCTTGTGGATGAGAAGGCGGAGGAGCATGTGATCCAGCTGAAGGAATGCCCACTCTGTCATCAGCCAAGGCTCCACAAGCGTTCGGAGGTCGATATCGTCACACATCTGGCGACCTGTGCATCACAAGATTGGCGACAGGTTGACAAACTCGTCATGGGAGGGTTTGTCACATCAAGTCAAGCACAGCGCAAATGGTACTCTAAGGTTTGTACAGGATCTCGTGGTTTTCCAATGGCATGGGACTGAGATTCTGCAGGTCATATCAAAAATTTCATACGGAGGTTACAAACTAGGCGCCAACTCGGCCAACATCCTAGTCCAAGACAGAATAACTGGGCAGATTCAAGAAGAGCGTATGAGCGTCTATGTCCGACTTGGCATCAGATTGCTCTACAAGGGTCTTAGTAGCAGCAGTATGGAAAATAAAAAGAGTACGGTAACCCAAATCTCCCAGCTCTACGCATAACAGGAACACTGGTTTATTGATTTTCTAAGTCAAAAAATTACTTTATTCCCTTAGTGTCAAGCAGGGCAAGAAGTTTGACAACCCAGCCTCCTCTCGCGACATCAAAGGCTTTATTGCTTTCCATCAGCTGGATTTGTCCGAGGTTCTACTACCACTCGATCAGTTCAAGACGTGAGACCCTTTCCCTATGTTGTCCTGCCGCCTTTATATTGATATGCGATAGATTCAATGAATTCTTTTATCGAGCCCTAAAGCCGGGTGCCCGCCCGTGCTCGGCACCGGACAACCCGAAAGTCATTGTCTCACCTGCAGATTGCCGGAGCGTTATGTTTAACAGGATCGATGACGCAACCAAGATATGGGTCAAGGGTCGGGAGTTTACAATTGCAAGGCTTCTCGGGAATGCGTATCCGGAGGATGTTAAGCGATATGAGAAGGGTGCTTTGGGAATATTCAGACTTGCACCTCAAGATTACCACCGGTTTCATCACCCAGTTGATGGTCTCATGGGAGAACCTAAGCTTATCAAGGGGGAGTACTATACTGTCAACCCTATGGCTATCCGCTCAGCGTAGGTGATCCCAAACCTGCCCCATCGCGAATTTAGTTAACTTTAATTCTTAGCTTGGACGTTTATGGGGAAAACGTCCGCATATGTGTCCCCGTCGATTCCCCAGATTTTGGTAGGGTTATGATCATCTGTGTTGGGGCAATGATGGTCGGGAGCACAGTCATCACGGCAAAGGCGGGACAACAGGTCAAACGAACCGATGAATTAGGATATTTTCAATTCGGTATATACCACTCCGCGGGCCCTTCGAAACCAGAACCAGAGATGTGACTAATACATTCGATAGGTGGAAGTACCATTGTCCTACTATTCGAGCCTGGAAGGATGGTTTTCGACGATGATTTAGTTAGTAACTCGAACACAGCCCTCGAGACACTAATCCGCGTTGGGATGTCCATTGGGCACAGCCCGGGCACAGCCATGGTGTCCGAGAAAAAAGAGAACGTTACAGAAGAAGATAAGATGGAGGCCAGAAGACGTATTGAAGGCAGCCTAGCGCCACCTGCCAATTAGGTATGTGGCCTGTATGCAATCCCGCAACCGAACAAGCCATTCTGATTTGCTCTTAGACCAGAACAGAGTGATGCCCTGGGAATGGATAAAAATTATGTGGATATTTGATTGACTAGAGGCGCATTTATAGGATGAGGGTTGTGATTGTCCTTGTTTTTTTTTCTTTTTCCTTTCTTTTTTGGTTTGGATATATCCAAGTAGCAACCACACCAGATCGCTCTGGTGATGGGAACATTCAACATGATTCAGCGAGGTTATCTTTCAGAGCTCCATGTGAGACAAGCGAGTGAAAGGTAGTGCTTACCTGTAGCAATGATTTATTTTTTGTTTTTCTCAGTTTTGTGGAGGTATCATACAAGGGAGGGGAAAACCCCCCGGAGGCTACATACATATTAATATCAAGACGCTACCCCAATCACCCTCGGTGCATTCACATTGCGGACAAGGAGCAAGGTCTCGGGATAATCAGATCGAGGCACGCCAGTATCGACAACATGTGCCCCTACCCACTTACCAGGTTTCGCACAGGACCATCAGGGTCCGGATGGGTCCCAAACATCATCACCTCGATTCCCTGCCCTCTCCTCCCCCGATCTGCGCATTGCCATTATTATGATACCATCACCATTATTACCCTTCGGAGCCCACCCCCGATCTCCCCCATTATTGGGCGGTCGTATCAGGAGGGATGAAAATGCCGTGTATGTTCACGATAGGACGAGGAGCCAAATCAATGCATGACACTCTAGCACAAAACAACCTGAAGGAAGGGGCTACTCGAGTACCGTAATAACTCCAGTTACATACCACGAAACACGATGCCGCAGTTGTAATCGTAGTCAATCTCCAGGGGTTGTTATACGTCATGATTTTCTTATTTCTTATTTTATTCTTTCGGATATGATATCGGACCACGGGAAGTGTGTTTGCCAAGTGTCGGGGGGAACAGCTTGGAAGGCAAAAGCTGAACCACGGCCTTTCGATAACTCCTTGATTGTCGGGCGAGGCGGATGGATAGATTGATGGATGGGTGGGCAAGGCAGGGATAATGAAATAGAATAGAATAGAACAGAAATAAAGGTGTTTCCTTCTTCCCTTTTTCTCTTGATCCGTTTTCAGGCCTTCTCTTCCCTCAACCATTTATCCTTGAGTAGGAGAGTCGCGATGTGATATGTGAGGCCATTCTGGCTTAGTTTCAGGCACTATGTCCGTATGTATGTATCAGACGTATATTCGTACTCCCTTCCCCCCCCCCCCCTCTCCCCCCTCCCTTCCTTCCTCCCTTCCGCCTTCATCCCCAAATTCGGATGCAAGGAGTATTCAATCACCAATTGGCAGGAAATTGGAAGGGTAAGGTGGAGAAAGGATGCTACTTTTTGTTTTTCCTTTATCCCAATGAGCGAGATTCCCCAGATCCCGTGGGGTACGAGCATCATACCAACAAATATACATAACTCTCGGCCTCCAAGCTGCCTCCGTTTGTTCGCCCGTCTGTCCGTCCCACTCATTTGTTGAACGAACGATCACCACGATCCCATATCGACCAAATCCCTACAGCAAACACGGCTTATTTCCCGCTGCACACGAAGAATCTCCAGCCATTCGTAGGAGGAGCCAAGGCTGCTGTGCTATGCCATATGCCATATGCGCCTGCTGATCCCCAAGAGGCCAGTCAGTAAGTCAGTCGGGACCATTCCCAGATTCACATTCTGCTATCCCCTCCCACCTCCTGGGCATTTCACTCTGATCATTATTATTCGCTATATCTCCCACCAATAAACATCTTGAGCGACTTTTTGTGCTTCCCTCTTCGCCTTGGGAGGGGGCCAAAAAAGGGAAAGAGCCACCACCAATTTGGAAGGGTACGGTACAGGTACTCGAGTAGAGTGCAGAGCAGAAAAGGAAAAAAAGTGGGTCTATAAAAAAAAAAAGGAAAAAGAAAAGGAATGGCGGCCATTCAAGCGGAGGAGGAGGGTGCCTATAGGGCACCGACCTATGCCTCCCATCACGGAACAATCTAATCCAATATTACTTTTTTTCTACTTCCCTCTTCCCTTCTTTTGTGTGCTTCCCGGAGATTCTGCTCGTTCTTGGGTGCTGCTGCTTTGGATTGCCCGTCGAATACCACACCTCACGTTCGATGTGCCACAGGATAGAAATGCAATAGGAATAAGCAAAAAAAAAGAAGAAAAAAAGATGCCAAAAGAAAAGAACCAACCCTGAGCCTCGTTAAATGAGTTACGGGACTGTAACTCCTGCTTACAAACAATTTGGGTTTCCCCTCGGCCTTTTCTTTTTCTTCTTTCTGGTTTTGTTGCTGCCGTTTTCTGTCATATCAGATGATCGTGAGTAACCATCCCCTGCCGTCTTCTGCTTACCTCAATTCACCTTACCCTATTTCCCCCCCTCCTCCTCTCTCCGCACTGCGCTAGCGGGGAGTGGGCACCGTCGGGCATCGAGCATCGGGTGCCGAGCGGGCCCTCCCCCTACGCTGCCGGCGGACGGCAAGCTCCCCCCAATTCCCGGGAGGTGTATCGAGTGACACTTCATGCGCCAAGTCACCCGCCACTCGAACTGTGAGGAACCGTTTGGCGCCAAGCCACGCCAAACCGCATGTCCATAGATTGATGCCCACACCCATACCGGTACAGTGCGTGCCCCCAATCGATCGCAACACCAAAAAAGTATGAATCAAAACAAGGAGCAACGCGACAACCCACACAACACAACCACTGTAACTGCCTCCACTCGCTCACCCACCACACCGTACCCCCCCCCCGCCCACAACGACAACAACCGCTATCGCAGCGTGAGCCTCATCGCCATTTTTCCTTCTTGTTCATTGTTTACTCGGTGAAGGGGGATTCATTGTTGGAAGGAAGGAAGGAAGGAAGGGGGGTCTCGCTTGCCGCTTGTCATCCCCGCGCTCGCGCTCTCCCTCACTCGCTGTCCGGCCACAACCTGGATCTGCACTCCATTGCACTACACCTCCGGTGCCCTATCGGTCAGTCAATTCGGGGTCCGACATTATAAGGCTACCGCTCGTCGCTTACTTCCGACCCGATATAATTTGATTGGGCAATTTGTTTGCTGCTTGCTTGCTTGGAGCGGGAAAGGGAGGGACAGGAAGGGAACAACGAAAACTGACTCGGTTATCTGTCTTTTTCTTTTTCTTTTCTCCTCTCTTTCTTTCCTTCCGAAGAGGGGGAGGTTTTGTGGGAACCAACTATATGCCCATTTACGCTCAGCGGCCGCTGCAGACTTTGATGATGCCGGCGAGCTCGCGACCGAAGCGGAAGAGTAGGGGTGATGCGTGCTTGGAGGATAATGGAATAGGAGTGGGAGGAGGGGATGGCAGGAAGGAGAAGGAGAATAGTGCGCCGGCGGCGAAAAAGCGACGCGAAGAGGATAAACTGAGTTCAAAGTCCACTACGACAGCGACGAGTGCATCTGTGACGGGGAGTACTGCTACCGCTACAAAACCAAAAGTAGGCCTTCTTCTTTTTATAATCCATTAATTTTTTAATATTCTCCTCCGGCAATTGGTTAGAGGAGGAGGAGGAGGAGGAGGAGGGGAACTACAGCTATCAGGAGTCTGTTGTGATTTCTTCCTTGTTTTTAAGGTTGATTGGGAAGGGGGGGGGGCTGTCATCGTGAATACGGACTGATTGCGCTCTACAGAAGAAAAAAAAGACAGCCGCAACTGAGATGAGGTTAGATGATGGATTTGCTTATCGCGTGCGCACAACACGATCGAGCACAGCGGCGGCGGCAGCAGCGGCGCAGGAGTCAACTCAGAGCATAGCTTCCTCGTCACATGACGCTGCACCAATAGCTCCTCCTCCGGATCCTCCGCGCCAACGTGCAAAGAAGAAGCGCGTGATGGTATCGCCTCCGCCAGGGGGGGTGGGATCCAAGCCAAAGGTTGCAAAAGCCACGAAAAGCAACGCAATTCCACTTAATCAGAACGGCACGGGGGAAGCGGAGGAGGAGATGGAGGAGGAGGCGGAGGAGGAGGAGGACAAGAGGAAGAAGAAAGAGGCAGTTCCCAAGGCACCCAAGGCATCCAAGGCGTCAAAAGAAAAAAAAACTGCGCCTGAGGAAAGACGGCCCAAAATTACAGCGTCCTCGACACCTCCTCGGCTACCCAAATCGCAAATTCCGACTGCGGTTGGTGGAGGTCATGGCCCTAATGATGGGACGAAGGTGGTGCTGCCGGTCTCCGATACCCCAATAATACGGAGGAACCAGCAACTGCGACAGAAGGGACAAGGTAATCGACGAAGCAGTGTTGGGATGCGAGGAAGGAGAGCGAGCTCTTTAATGGACAACGGGGTAATTGGTATGACAGCGTGGATAATCCTTCCGAATTTGGCAGTTTGATCTGACGTATACTCGCCAAAAATAATAGCGGAGCCGCATGCTGAGGTGGAAAGCGAGGAGTTCTACAAACACATCGCGGATGAGTTATTGGAGCCCCAGCGGATGAAGCAACTACTGTCATGGTGCGGTAAAAGGGCACTAAGTCACCAGATTTCGCCACCCACTGCCGGAGTGGACGGGAATGCCCGAGCTGTAGGTGAGTGTCGACTTTCTTTTCCTCTCTTTCCTTCTTTTTTCCCACAGGGCTAGATATGCACGATTGCAGCTCGAGCACTTTATGGAGCCGGCTTAAATGCTGATACAGTAAATGTGTAAAGCACGGATAATCGAGGAGGAGGTGTTGAAAGACCTTTTATCGAATGCCGAGCTGTCGAGTTGGTTCAATAGGGTGAGTCTGCATCTGCGCATACAATCCCGGTTTGTGGGAAAATCGATCGATAAGTTGGGTTAACAATTGAGGATTCCGTCATCATAGGACGATTCCCAAGCCCCCACCGTGGTGAAAAAACCAAATCCCCGCAATTTGGATAATCTCGCCAAGGTGGAAGAATGCGAAGCCAATCTCAAAAAGTAGGTGTGGAGTTTTCCGTCTTTGGATTTTATTTTATTTATTTTTATTTGTCGGAGGGGAGTGGTCCCGATAACTTTTTTTTTCTTTTTTCACCCATCTTGAGCCCCACCATGTGGTGTCTTCCCTCCTCCTTTTCGGGAATTGGGGTTGACTGACTGGCTGACCGACTTGGTGTGGTTGTTGCTCCCTGCAGACTCCGTGAAGAGAGGGAGACGTGGGGTTCGCTTCTCCGACCAGAGGCACAGTCAACGCTATCGATCTCCGGGGGGAAGTCGGACGTGCGGCTTTTCGAGAAGTCGCTGCTAAGGCCAGAAGAGTCGGAGTTTGCGAACTCGCTTGCGAAATCGCAGGATCTACTGGGATCAGCGAAACGGCTTGTCAAGCAGCAGTGTGGCGAGATCGAGTTCCAGGTCGATCAGCTAATCGATGGGATCCACAAACTCAATCAGTATGGTGAAGCAGCGGATCGGTTGGGCGGGCGAATCTTGGAAGACGCTGAGTCAACGTTAGCGGTCAGGGAAGCAACGCTGCGGCAAGCTTCCGGCACAGAGGCACTACCAATACAGGAAGTCCTCAGATCTCTCTCCCGGATGGATCGGTAAATGGTGATGCAACTACGGTATAGTAAATGGGATGGGCAAGGGGTGAGGGTCAGAGAGATAGTAGGCTGAAGTTTGACTTTTTTTCTTCTTTTTTTCTTTTTTCTTTTCCCCTTTCTAAAAGTGGAGTGAAATATCATATCATACATGGCCGCTATGTTGGAGAAGGAGAAGGGGGAGGTGAAATGTGTGCGTCTGTGTGACTGGGGTGTGTGAGTGTGTATGAGAGAGACGGACAGAGAGAGAGAGAGACACAGAGAGGGGTGGAGGGAGTAAGGAAAGGAAAGATTGTGCAGGGTGGTCAAGGTGGTAAATGCACGCGCTTTTCTCCCCCCGGATGAAGCGGGGGCAAGGTGGGGTGGGGTGGGCGAGCCGGATGTACCGTATGATGCGGAGTATGGACGGCACCAAAGAAATGGCCATGCGATAGCGTGTTTTTAGAGAAGGAAGGAAGGAAGCGGTGTTATCGAGGGTTATTTTGTCTGTTTGTCTATCCGTTATGCTAATCCGGCGTTCTGGTCGTTTTTTCTTCTTTTTCTTTTTTGTCTGGAGGGTTTTCCTTTCTTTCTTTCTTTCTTTCTTTCTTTCTTTCTTCCTCCACCGTTGGCATCGCAAAACCGTTTTATGTTTTCTTCTTTTTCCTCCTCCTCCT